TCCAAACAAGCTGTTGCCAGTCTCCGGGTGACAGCTGGAGAGCACTTAAAGCTCTGGTGCTAATTCAAAGTGTTACAATGTATCGACAGAGTAGTGTTTTGGAAAATCTTTAGGAATTGTTTGGTGCATTTGCCAGCTTTAGGTATGGAAATTCCTGGAGATTTGAGGGGTGGAGCCTGGGTAACAATTGCTGCCACTCTCCAGGTGAGGGCTAGAGATCACTCAAAATTACAACTGCTCTTCAGGTAGCACAGATCAGTCCCTCTGGAGAAAACAGTGGACTCTGTCATTATACCCTGCTGAGTTTGCCACAGCAAACTGACACTGTTTGCCCAAAGCCAGAGCACTCTCCCAGAGCCTCTTTCTAGCTCCCGTTGTATTTATTTCCACAACGGGCCTTATTTCTAGTAATAGTAATAATAGAATTTATATAGATTGTTCAAAGTGTTTCACATGTACTACCTTGGTCTAAATTGTATTTTTTGTCTGTAGCTTTCTAAATAGCTTAGAGTCCCCTGTATGAGAGAAATGTAGGGTATACATATTTAAGCAAAAGCCCCTGTTAGGTTGGTATTACTATTCTTGTATTACAGATGAAAAGTTGAAACTTGGAAAGAGATTATTTCCCCCATTCCATTTATTGTTTTTGAATGCTCCTCTGTGGTGTGCTTCACTACTCTTTAATTCCAGTTTAAGTAAGAGAATTTCTGAAATTCTGCAATTTGAGAGTGATGACTAGCTGGCCAGAGTGTTCAGTCCCTTTTGTTCATATGAATCTCCCCCCCCCCATGTTATTGACATGCTTGTGTGCATTGATGAAACACTACCAAAAAGAAAAAGAAAGCATGATGAGATTGCATGCAAAGCTATATCAGGATTCTTGTTGTGCAGCATTTATTGATGTGTGCCTCGGTGTTTAGTCATGCCGGCCACATGGAAACGTCTTTGGACAGCGCTGGCTCTTCGGCTTGGAAACAAAGATGAGCACTGCCCCCTAGAGTCGGATTTGACTAGCTTTTGAGTAAGGGAAACTTTTACCTTTACACACTCCTGAGGACTAGTAAAAAACCTGCACAAAAAGGAATCCTGATACCCATTGTACATAAAATTCCACCAAAATAACATTTTTGGCAGTATCAGTATACACATGCATATCAGTAACATAGATGCACCTGAACCAAAGGAACTGAATGATGTGACAAACTGAACATGCACAGAATTCTGTATAAAATTTGGAAATAAACACAAAACAAAGACTATTTCCTAATACATTAGTACAATTTTTAAAACAAGGCCAGATAATTCAGACATCTACCGCCCATGGAGAAATGTGGATAAGGAGAATTTTGAAAGCATCTCTCCTAATGAGGACTTGGACAGAGTGGCTTCCCCTTGGGCTAGCTAAGCAAGGACAAGAGTCAAGCCAGAGACTTTCCAGTTCTTAGCCACTGGACTACATTATATTAGTATTCTCTCTCTCTCTCTCTCTCTCTCTCTCTCGCTCTCGCTCTCGCTCTCTCTCTCTCTCTCACACACACACACACACACACACACACATTGTCTTTCTCCCTCATTCGGCCACCTGTTCTCCGCATGGGTCCAGGGAAGAACAGTAATAATGGTAGCTTGATATTGAAAGCTGCAGCAGTTGTCCTTGTTGGAAAAGATGCTCGGGGAAAGAGGTACAATGTATCCTGAGATGCTTGTTTGGATTTCTCAAGGAATACTGCAAAGAAACTGAGCTTCTCTTATATATAAACCCAGACATGGCTTATTATTCTAGGACTCCACCCAGGATTTAGAATGAATTATCTTTGATTTTTCTGGGACGTTTGGGGATAGGGGCTGGAATGAATGTACCTCAAATCACGTATTGGAGCGCATACTATTTTGTTCAGTTCCATTCAGTATTATTGCAGAGGGCCAACGGCCATTACAAGTGGTAGCAAATGTTTGTTTTTTGTTTTTTTTAAATAAAAATTTCAACCTACACAACACAACCACACCACACAGTGTCAAATACATAAATATATAAAATTAATCACCCACAAATCAAACTCCACCCAGTGTACTACTGTTCAATACCTAATAAAATCACAGTCTATGATCCAGAATAGTAAGGGCTTCAGGTATTATTTATAGTATCCTCAAGTTCAATTCAATTTATTACAGCTCTATATGACCGAAGTCTTGACCAAGAGGATACCAAAGGGGGATAAAATAGGTACATAAAATAGACATAAATGTGTCAAGGTACATAATCACAGGTATCCTCAAGTTATATTAAAAATGGATGAAATCATGATAGTGTGGATTTTGGGGCAAGGTGTTATTGTCCATTAAATACTGAACTATGGGGTACCAAATCTCCCCCATTTTTGTGTAGACGTTGTCTAGAGCATAGGGGTTAGAGTACATTGAAATCTTGTTTAGAATGAAATATTCCCATAATTTCTCTCTCCATTCTGACAACAGAGGAATATATGGACTTTTCCATTTTGATGCTAGTAATGTTCTTGCAGCGGTCAATAACATAGAAATAATCTGTTTTTCCTTTTTATTGCAAGAAGGATCTGTCCAGAACCCCAGTAGCACAGATTCAGGAGAAAACAGCAAGTTCAAACCAGTAATTTTATAGATTTCCTGTAGGATTTTTGTCCAGAAGGCTTTTAATAGGCTTACATTCCCACCAACAATATAGGAAATCAGCTTTTCTCCTTCAGAGTTTCCAACAATTTTGACTTGATGAGTATTTGAATTTATGGAGGCAGCTCGGAGGGAGGTACCATCTGGACATAATTTTAAAGGCTTGAAATTTTTACTGTAAAGATGTTAGATGTTAGACTAGGCAATGTCCAGATATTCTGCCATGTTTCCTGTGAAAGTCTGTTATCACATTCATTGTTCCAACATATTTGATATGGTAGCATTTTATTGCTGTCAGTCATGAATAGAGTATTATATATTTTTGAGAGCAGTCCTTTTGATGATCCTTCATAATTTTTAACAAGTAGTTCAATTGAAGTTAGGAGTCTAGAGGTAACTAGTTTTACTGCTGGGTCTCATAACATATGGATTACCTGTGAGTAGCTAAAATGATCCAATTTAATTAATTTATACCAGGGAGAAAATTTGGTTTCTAGTATGACTTGCCTATCTAAAGCAGGATCACATGTGTATATTAAAGTCAGCCTGAAATGTTCCTCGGACAACATCTGGCAAATTATATATTTGAAGGAGTTTGTTATAATTGAATTGCCATTTAGGATCTTTTAGACTTATAGAGAAACAAATGCTTGAAAGATGATCTACTGGAGCTCTCTCCAATTTGTGCCAATAATTAAAAACGGCTTTGTGTGCAATGTATGTGCCCAAAGAGAAGGAAGGGGCAATTTGGTTCACAGCAATTTTTATTTATTTATTTATTTTATATTTAAATTTATACCCCGCCCTACCCCGGAGGCTCAGGGCGGCTGGGGTGTTTGGAGGTAGTGCTAAAAACCTTTTCAGAAAAAAAGTTTTGGATTCTCTCCAAGTTTGCAATCAAGGAGTCATTGCATCCCCAAACCTCCACACCATAGAGGAATCGAGCAATTACCTCACTCTGAAACAGGCTTAAGGCCGTGTCTGTCTGGAAACCCCCTTTGGAATGGTAAAATTTGAGATCTGCCCAGCCATTCTTTCACAGACCCAACCAGGGACACCTATATCTTTCCATTCTGTTGAGGAAGATCTAATTCACTCTTTTAAAGCCCTTCCTGATTCTGAGCAACTGGTTATCATTGACAGACTGGCACAACTGAGGACAACAATTTTGGAACAGAGGGCTACAGAAACCTCTTTTCCTTCCATCTCTCTGCCCCTAGCAATTCTAACAGATACTAAGCCTGGCCAGGTTCTTTTTGACTGTCAATCTTCACAAAGTCATCTAAAAGAATCCAAATCAAATGCAACACCATTTGCCAGAAAACAGCCTGGTTCCCAAACCAAAGTAGCTACTGAGCACCTTCCAAAAAAATTCTTGAGCCCTTAGACGTGAAGCCCTGAATTGATATTTAGAGGATCATGAGTATGGCCTGCCTGGCCCTCCAATGGAGTGCTCAGTCCAAAACTCCTCTTCTAAATTTCCCACTATAGTTCCCAATAATGGCCTGTGTTTTTTTAGATACCAACAAGATCTGGGATCTAGTCAAGCACACAGACTGACAGTTTAAAATCCTTTCATGGAACACCATAGGTTGGAGTAATAAATTTCATGACTTGGCTTTTCCAAAATTCTTACAGAAATTTGACATTTAATGCCTTGAGGAAACATGAATTCTGGAGCCCGACTCTTTATCTCTTTGTGGGTTCTGTCCATAAGTTGTTCTAGTGGGGGCTTGGTAATTCTGGTGTTGGTTGATCTATAAACTGAAATCCAAGTCTTGAAAAGTGAATCTCAGAGTCAGAAACTAATTCAGGTTTTGAGGATAAGTGGGGCAGGTTGACTCCCTCCTCTGTGTTAATGTTTACTTTCCCCAAAGAATTTCTAACAGTGTCTGGAACAAACCTTTTGTTACCCTGGAAAGTCTTGACTTTCAATATCCTAATTCCCATGTCCTTTTATGTGATGATTTTAATGACAGAATAGGTGCTGTCTGAAGACGTTTCCGTGGTCATGTGGCCGTCATGACTAAACACCAAGGCACACGGAACGCTGTTACCTTCCCACCAAAGTGGTACCTATTTATCTACTTGCAATTTCTTGCTTTCGAACTGCTAGGTTGGCAGGAGCTGGAACTAGAGACGGGAGCTCACTCTATCATGCGGCAACCCGGGTCTCGAACTGCTGAACTACTGACCTTCCACAGCCTGCAGTTCAGCATCTTAACCACTTGAGCCACCATATGCTTGCGTAATTCCTTGACATTATACTGCACATGAGTACTAATTGTCACCATATTGGGAAGAAATCTACTCTATTAACATTTTTTAAAAATAAATATAATGTTTTCATTTACCACAATTCTGCTCATCACTTAGGTCTCCGCAGTCATCATACCCGTCACAAACAAATGTGTAACTGAGGCATTTTCCTGTGTTGCAGCGGAACAATCCTTCACTGCAGTCTACAAAACAACGTTACAAAAAATTATTTGTCTTTAATTATTCAGCAATGCTATTATACCTGGACTTAATTTGGACTAGGTTCCAGTTCCAGAACACAATTCAATGCTAGGACAGGAGTGAATGCTGTGAAACAAAATATTAATACAATTGCAACCATATTTCAAACTGCAGAAGAACAATGTCTCAGTCTATAAACATATAAGCTCTGTGCCTTCATGAACTGCATACCAGGCAGGAATCAACAGCTGGATTCCTGAGATGTTGTTTACCCTTAAAGAGCAGCCATGGGAGAGGGGCTGAGGGGATGAGACACCCTTATTGAAGCCACCACATTCAGGTTTCTTTTTAGCTGCCATGGGGTAAAAGGACAGGCAAAGGGAGCATATTTGCCTTTTCCCCCACCAGGGCTTAAAGCAGGCGAGGAAGGGGGCAGTTTGATTAAGGAAATGGCAAAAGTGGAAAGAATTAAACCTTCACCTTCCCCAACATTCCAGCCCCAGTCTATATCACGGAGAAGTAACGTGTAGTTTGGCCCTGTGGCGTCTCAGCAGGTCAAGGAAGAGACTGGAAGGGTCAGGATGAACTGGAGGGCAAGTTCTTGACAACCATGTTTGTACTGGTCACCTGTTGGCCCTGAGCAGTGGGTATGTAAAGATGCAAGACCAGTTGAGCCCAGTAGTGGACAATTGCAGCCATATCAACAAGTCCTAATCCAGTTCTCCAGCAACTGTAGTTCGGCCCCTGTGTATCATGGTTGAGGGAGGGGTGCAGGGTATAAACCCATTCCAACGCACTGTCCAATACACCATATTAATGCTAACTATCGCTGTCGTTTATGTAATAGTTCACCCTGTCCCGGATTTTCCAGACTGATCTATATTTAGTTCTGAAAGAACACAGAGAATGAAAGGATAGTAAATACCAAGCACATGAAATCCCAGACATTCTAAACTAAATGAAAATATGTGCACTCTCTAGATGCTTTCATATTGAGTAATGTAGCACCCAACTGAGTTTAAAATTCAGTGTATTGTTTATCTGGAATCTGCAACAGCATGAGCTATCCCGGCAGTTCTCTGTGTTTACCCATCCCTGTGTTGTAACTCAAAGATTACTTCATGCTCTGTATGGGCTGTTCTTTCTTTCTTTCTTTCTTTCTTTCTTTCTTTCTTTCTTTCTTTCTTTCTTTCTTTCTTTCTTTCTTTCGGCTGTCATTTTCTCAGAACAACTTCTCTGGCTTAGATCACACTTCATTTCACATCCATGCTTTGAATTCATATTTGTAAAGGTAAAGGTTTCCCTTGCTCGAAAGTCAGTCGAATCCGACTCTAGGGTTGCAGTGCTCATCTCCGTTTCCAAGCCAAAGAGTCAGCGCTGTCCAAAGACATTTCCGTGGTCATGTGCCCGGCATGACTAAACACCAAGGCACACGGAACCTTCCCACCGAAGTGGTACCTATTTATCTATTTGCAGTTTCTTGCTTTCGAACCGCTAGGTTGGCAGGAGCTGGGACCAGAGACGGGAGCGCACTCCGTCATGCAGCACTCGGGTCTCGAACTGCTGAACTACCGACCTTCAGGTCTGCAGTTCAGCGTCTTAACCACTTGAGCCACCGTAGCCCCATCTGTACATATAGTTGTACATATACCTTTCTAGGGGGAGTAAGAGACATAGCAAGGTTTTCGCTGCTATGACCAACAGACATGATGTTTTTGCAACCACTAGCTTCTTTTCACAGGAAAAATCTCACTGCCACTGAATAAATATAAACAAATACCTCTCTTCCCTCCTTCTGCCCTCTCTCAGTGTATCAATGCCAGGTTTCCTTCACGAAAGCAGTTATCATCTGTTTGATATCTTTCTTCCCCAGAGCCCTTCTTACTGGCAGGACTAGACAACATGGCCCCAATTATTTCTCTACCAATGGTGGAGAATGGAGATGAAAGTGAGAATGAGCTTCTGCTTCCCCATCTGGCAAACCCGGTCCACCTCCAGCAGTACCACAGGAGAGTAATGTTTGAGTGGATATTCTCCAATACATGTAGTCCTATTTCATATAGTCAATTTTGACGGGGGGGGGGCGGGAGAAATCCAAAAGCTGGCTGCATGATCTGAGTGCTCATGCATTGAATATTATGTGCATGAGCTCTATCTGATAAGAACATAAGAGACGCCAATGTTGGATCAGGCCAAAGGCCCATCTAGTCCAACACTCTGTCACACAGTGGCCAAAAATACCAGGTGCCATCAGGAGGTCCACCAGTGGGATCTGTAGATGGCTAGTGGCATTGGAAGTGGGGCAGACATGCTGAGCGGAAAAATAGGTAAGGCACACTCTCAGCCTTGCCTCATTTATCACCATATATGGGGAATTGATAAACGGCTGATCTGGCCTCCTACCACAATTGAGGGCCTGGAATGTTTTTGTTCTTGCTGCTTTATAGACCCTTCTCACTATAGTTGCTGTAGATTTTCTGGGTTGTGTGGCTGTGTCTTGGCATTGTAAAACCCGACGTTTCGCCTGCAGCTGTGACTGGCATCCTCAGAGGTATAACACAGAAAGATGGAGTACTATCTTTGTCAAGGTGAGAAGAAAATGGTAGGCAGGTAATTTATATCTACTCCAGAAGGTGGGGTAGGGCTGAGTCATTATCTTGCAGGAGTTCCCCAGGCTATGAACATGCTAATGGAGGAGCTTTCCTGAGGAGGTTCTTTTGTATATGGATTGTTTCCTGAGGAGGTTTCCTGTTTCCTGAGGAGGTTCTTTTGTATGTGGATTGGCTGTTGAAATTCTAATCTGTAGTGCTATTGTCAGATGTAGAGCCTTTTGTGTTTTTCAGGACAGGAAGCCATGCCCTATTTATTTTTAAACTCTCTTCTTTCCTGTTGAAATTGTGTTTATGTTTATGAATTTCAATGGCTTCCCTGTGTAATCTGACATGGTTATTGGAAGTGTTGTCCAGCCTTTCAGTGTCTTGGAACAAAATACTCTGTCCTGTTTGAGTTAGGCTATGTTCCGCCACTGCTGATTTTTCAGGTTGGCCAAGTCTGCAGTGTCTTTCATGTTCTTTTATTCTTGTCTGAATGCTACACTGTGTGGTCCCAACGTAAACTTGTCCACAACTGCATGGTATGCGGAATACTCCTGCAGAAGAGAGGGGGTCTCTTCTGTCTTTTGCCGATTGTAGCATCTGTTGTATTTTTCTGGTGGGTCTGAATACTGTTTGTAGGCTGTGTTTTTTTCATAAGCTTTCCCATCTGATCAGTGATTCCTTTGATATATGGCAAAAACACTTTTCCTGTGGGAGACTGTTTTTCCTCAGTTGTTTGTTTTACCTTTGGTTAATCACTCTTCTGATTTCATTCTTGGAGTAGCCAAGTAGAGCTGTGTGATACCTCTGAGGATGCCAGTCACAGCTACTGGCAAAATGTCAGGTTCTACAATGCCAAGACCACAGCCACACAACTTGGAAAATCTACAGCAACTAATGAACTCCAGCCATGAAAGCCTTCAACAACCTTCTCACTATAATTTGTTTCTTGCATGTGTGTTCTGTCTTGCTCTGAGTTCAGTCTTGTGACAACCTTGAGAGGTAGACTGAGCTAAAAGGTGGGCCAATTCATAACATGCAATGTGCTAGTCATTGAACCCCCTCCTCACCACTACGTATGTCACGTTACACATGCATGGATCACATGGGATCACTATACCAGCATCTATATTTCTCACACCAGTGTCAGCAGCCAGAGGTACATTGGCATGGAAAGTAACTTTGAGAAAACCATGTGATCTGAGTTTCAATATATTATGAACCTGAAGATATTAAACAGTGGCAACTTTCCAAATAAATATTATTATTAGGTATGTATAGCAGGTGATTTTCCACAGGCTCTGTTGACAGCAGAGCAGGGGTTCAAACCCGGTTGTCCTACATCCAAGTCCCAAACTCTAACCACTGCACTGACACCCATTTGAGTTTCAACTACTATGCTTAAATTTCATTAATCCTCAAGGGTGATATATATTTTTTTTGTTTTTATTCCTCCCTTTGCCTCTATCTATAACTTTTGCTTTTATCATAACAACTGGCAAGAGCAGCTCCTTACTAGAACTCTCCTTCATTGGATCTATAGAAATCAGCTCTAGTCCAGGACAATTTATGCTGGAATAAAATGTTTTTAGGCTTTAAGGCATTTCTTCCCAGCCCAATTCTTAGGGAATATCAATTGCACTAAAACTAATAAGAAACAAAAGAGCTTGGAGTGCTGCCCTTTTCCTTTCTGGCCATAATCTGTTTATGCTGCTGTATGTGATAGCAGTAGGCGCACTGACCTCCTCAGAAAGATGGGAAAACCCTTTGTTACTGATAGGAGGGAGCTTGCTTCCTCCTTCAGAATCTCAGGCTGCAGTCGCACACACTAAATAATCCATTTTCAATCCACTTTCAGCGCACTCTGCAACTGGATGTTACTGTCTGAACTGGCAAAATCCAGTTGGAAAGTGCACTGAAAGTGGATTGAAAGTGGGTTATTTAGTGTGTGTGACCGCAGCCTCAAAGAAGCAGAAGGACATTTGCTAGCATGTGCTCATTCATTAAGTATGGAACACGTGATCCAGCCGTCAGCTTTTTCTCATCTATGGAAAGAAAAAAAGGATGCGGTTGGATGCACCATACACTGGAGAGACTTCATGTCCTTTTCCACAGCACTTCTTTTATGAACAAATGATATAAGATCCATTAGATTTTTATGAACAAATATTTCTGTGACCAAATTTAGGGGGCGATCTGAAAGAATGTTGGAAACAGGTTATTCTACGTCTGCTGTGTAATACAGCGAGCAACCTGACCAAAGGCATATAAACAGAGGGTTATCTCCTTACAAAGATAGCTTTTGTGGGGAAACAACTGTTAAAGAATCCCTGTGTGCCTTTCCGGAAATATTGGCTGTTGAAACGACCAGTGAAAATGTACTTTTTAAAACATAAAATTTTAAAAGGTCTGCAAGCACAGTTTGTGGTCAAGCTGGTCCAAGGTAAATAGGCCCTATTGATTTTTCTGAAAGGGACGTCAGAGGCAGGCATACGTAAATCCTACGCAAAGCTGTTTCCCTGTTACAATAGGTGACTTTTGTTACTAAGCCCATCTGAATAGCAGTAGTGTTGTTTTTCCCAGACATATGTTATATAACACGTTTAAGTGACGTACTGCAGTGTGTCTCATCACTCCAGTCATCGCAGTCATTGTAGCCGTTGCACTGGAGTCTCCCTGGGATGCAAATTCCACTTGAGCACAAGAAGCTCTCATTCTCTTCACAAAGCACTGAAAAATAAAACACTTCTTTTTAAAAGGACATATTTACGCTCAGTTTCAGTTATTTTACATTTCTCTTCACGTTTATTAAACCTGTTGTTACGTCGTATTGATTAGCAACAGTCCAGTTAGGCCGTTTTCAGGATCAGGTATCACTACGGTGACAGAATAAAAGAATCAAAGCCGGTATGAAAAAGCTACCATCACATCTCTACAATAGCTGTTTACAGTTTACTTAGGACAAAAAGAACAGAAGAAAGAGGGCAAATAGACACACGTACATTCAGGGCTCTTTTTGTAGAAAAAGACCAGCAGGAACTCATTAGCATAACAGGCCACACCCAACACCAGAAACTCATTAGCCTATTAGGCCACACCCCTGACAGCACAGCTCATTAGCACATTAGGACGCACCCCCATGTTACCAGAAGTGTGGTTATCCAGCCACACCCATCTTTTGCTTGTTATTCTGTTTACCTTGTTTGTTGTCAAAACCCAGGGCTTTTTTGTAGCAGGAACTCCTTTGCATGTTAGGTCACACACCCCTAATGTAGCCAATCCTAATGAATTTCTGCTGTTGGGTGTGGCCTATTATGCCAATGAGTTCCTGCTGGGCGTGGCCAACTTGGGAGCCAGCCGGAACTCCGTTCCTGTGCGTTCCTGCCCCAAAATAGCCCTGCATACATTAAAATGGCAACACAAGGAAGTTGATAAGGGAACACTTCAGCCTCCGGGGGACATTCAGTTCTGACCTCAAGAACAGTGTACTTAAACTCAAGATGTTTTGGGGCAGGACAGAGGATGAGGCTACTGAGCCGAGGTTCATTGTCACTGTCTTGACTTTGAGATTTGGCTTAGTACTTGAGATTATGGCCCAAAATTGGTTTAGGCAATGATTTTGGAAACATTCTAGTTCAATAGATGCCACACAGCACAATATTTCTGCCCTGTTGGAACCGTGTAGAAAGTTTTGCTTCCAATTTTTCCCACAAAGGGCAAATTTCTTTGCTTCCATGAGTTCCAATAACCTTAGAATTCTATGAACTGTCCAATCTACTTGAGTGGTGGATAACAACATTCCTAAATAATGAAAAGCTTTAACCTCTTCTCTTTTATGGGAGTCAAGATACCATTCATACCAAGGAAACTTACTTGGAAAGACTACTGCATTTATCTTTTACAGTTAATTATCAACAACGTTTCTTGCAGTAAAATGCTAAAGAAGTCATTGATCTGGGTTAAATCTACTGGTGTCTGTAACAAAAGCATAACATCAACATATAATATATCTGATGATTTATGTTTATCTGTCACAGGGAGAAAACAAACAACAATCACTGAGAACAGTGATGGAACCTGCAATTCTAAGATCACTTCTCTGGAAGTAAGCCCTACTGAATAAAATGGGACTTGCTTCCAAATAGAGCAATCTTAAGCAGAGTTATACCCTTCTAAGACTTAGAAGGGCATAACTCTGCTTAAGACTGGCCTGTAATTCATGTATATATAATTTAAACACTTCCTTGTTTGCTAGAATAGTTAACAATCCAGAAAAAGAATCCAAACCCTCAGGAAATCAACCCTGCACTGCAGCCCCACACTGCTTGCAAAAAGACCCTTCAAAGGGCCTTTTTGCGAGCGTGCAGCCCGCAACCACCCCTCTCCCTCCTTCCTGCTAGATTTAAAGGGCCCTCCAGCTGGTCAGCAGGCCACACAATCCCTGCCAATCATCTGAAGCCCTTTAAATCAGGCAGTGGGGGGAGAAGAGTGGCCAGGCAGGTGATTGCTCTTGGGGGCAGGGCCCACCCCCAGAACCCCCCCCTAAATCCCCCCATCAGAGCAACAAGGGGACCTGGCAACCCCACCTTCCATGGTTTTATTTTGCATGCCGTTCAATAAAATGGGCATCATTTGTGTAAAAGCAATAAATAAATAATAAAAGTTTCTTCACTCTCACCATTGAAAGTGAGGAGGCCAGTCCATATCCATCCAAAATACTTAAGCAACTGAACAATCCCAGCATACTGAAGATCTTAATTTGGAACCATCAGGTAAAAAAGAAGGGAATTTTATTGAACAATCCCAGCATACTGAAGATCTTAATTTGGAACCATCGGGTAAAAAAGAAGGGAATTTTATTGAACAATCCCAGCATACTGAAGATCTTAATTTGGAACCATCGGGTTAAAAAGAAGGGAATTTTATTGAACAATCCCAGCATATTGAAGATGTTAATTTGGAACCATCAGGTAAAAAAGAAGGGAATGTTATTGAACAATCCCAGCATATTGAAGATGTTAATTTGGAACCATCAGGTAAAAAAGAAGGGAATTTTATCACTTAAAACAGGATCAAAGGAGTCATAAATTAACTAATACAAGAAAATAAAACTAAATTTTAATACTGAGAAATGCCTCACTCAATTTTTTAAAAATCAAGTGTTATATCTTTGATACAAAGGATGAAGGGAGCTTCGACTCTCAAAAGCTCATCCCGCCCAAAAAAATATATTGTTGGTCTCTAAGTTGCTACTGGACTTAGATCTAGCTGTTCTATCACAGACTAACAGGACCACCCTCTGAAACTATCTTTGATACAACAAATTTAATCCTCCAGCAAACATCACAATCCAGATCTTTAAGTGTTGATTTTATACAGATGTACTCTTTTAAAAATTATGTTGTATTATCTTTTTTAACAGTTCAGTGCCTTTGAGGACCCTAATTGGGTAACAAAGATGGCCAAGCACATTTTTTGGATCATGTAACCACAATGATTAAAATGTGCACCATGGGAAAACACCTCTAATGAATTGACTGGTTGTGGCAACTGCAACAAAACTCACTTGACAGCATCCACTCCAACAAATAGCACTCCAAGATTTCTGAGACAGAGCTTTGAGGGTCAATTTTAGCAAATGCTGTAAGGCCACTTCCCAGCACTTTGTTGCTCCAGGAAAAATGGATAAATGTGATGTAATACTACCAAAGAAAAATCCCTTGCCTGGCCAGAACTGTCTGCAGCATGCACGAACACAAGATTCCAGTTGTTTTCCAGGTACAAAGAATGCCTGGGGATTTCTGTCTAGAACAATGGCTTGCAATCCTTTGGTCACAAATATTAGATTCCAACAATCCATACTTTTCTTTCACCCTACCCAACACAATGCTTGTAAGATCTTTTTCTGTTGTATGTGTCATGAAGAAGTTCCCAAAAATTCTCCTTAATGAACTCAAATTTTCTGTTAAAGTGGGCAAATTGTCTCCAGGCACTTTGGTGAGAGCTTAGCACCCATCATAATAAAATACTAAAACTGCCATTTTCCAGTTTGCTGTGGTGTGAGATTTGCAATGAGAAAAAAACCAGAATTATTTTACAGCACAGATGGGTCTCAGCATCTGCCCCACCCCACCCACTTCTGACACAGGCACTGGTGGGGTCCTACGAGGATCAGTATTGGAGCCAGTACTTTTTAATTTGTTCATATATCTGGAACTGGAGATGAGCAGTATAGTGGTCAAGTATGCAGATGACACAAAATTATTTAGGATAGTGAACACCAAGGCTGACTGTGAAGAGCTCCAGGAAGATCTCCACAAATTGGGTGAACAGGCAACCATGGGTCAAATGAAGTTCAGTGTAGATAAAAGGTAAGGTGATGTAAAGGTAAAGGTTCCCTTGCTCGAAAGCCAGTCGAATCCTACTCTAAGGTTGCGGTGCTCATCTCGGTTTCAAAGCCGAAGAGCCAGCGCTGTCTGAAGACATTTCCGTGGTCATGTGGCCGGCATGACTGAAAACCAAGGCGCACGGAACGCTGTTATCTTCCCACTGAAGTAGTACCTATTTATCTACTTGCAATTTCTTGCTTTCTAACTGCTAGGTTGGCAGGAGCTGGAACTAGAGATGGGAGCTCACTCCATCACGCGGCACACTCGGGTCTTGAACTGCTGAACTACCAGCCTTCCACACAGCCTGCAGTTCAGCGTCTTAACCACTTGAGCCACCGCAGCTCCAAGGTGATGTACATCGGAACAAAAAAATCCCAGCTTTAAGTATAGCTAATGGGGTCTGAAGGGGCCACGGTGGCTCAGAGGTTAAGATGCTGACTGGAAGGTCTGTAGTTCAATTTTTTTTTTAGCTCAGCAGGCATATTTCTTTTTAATTTCCTTCATTATCTTTTAGAGTTTTTATATATCTTTTTTCTTTTCTTAATTTATATGCTAGCCATCTTGTTGGTTGTTAGCATTTTCAAAAAAGTTTTGCTTTGCATAAGTAATTTTTTTGGCTATTTTTTCTGTCAATAGGCAGTTCTTTTGGTGTTGAAGAAGTTTTAGTTTCACTCTTAAATGCTCATCTGAAGTATCTTGCTTTAATTTATCTTCCTGCTTCTTAATCTGTTCTCCAATTTGTGAAAAATTTTCAGCTCTTTGCTTTTTCATATGTCTCTAATCAGCCAGCCTCTGGTATATGCCTTAAATGCATCCCATACTGTTCTAATGGAGATATCTGGTTGTATATTCTGTTAAAAAAAACCATTTGAAATTCTTTTTTTGTCTCCATTACAAATTTTGCATTTTTCAATAAAAACTTATTGAGAGTCTGTCTACTTTTCTTTGGAGCATTTTGTACTTCCACCAGTTATAAATAATTGTTGAAGAGATCCAACACCTGTCTATCCTGGACCATGATTGTGTCTTGCCGAATAAAATGTATAGTCCTTTTTTGGACTTCTGCCAGTATAAGGTTATTCCCTTCTTCACTTGAAGAGGACTCTGATAATCCACATACAGTCTCAGGTAGCTCAACGGGTGACATCCAACAGATTAAGATGTTCAAGTTCTACACATGATAAATACAATACTATGGTGTAGCAGTTAGTAAATTGGACTCAGACCTTTTCCACACTTCAGTGTTGCCGCTGCTTCCCAGTGAGTTGAATCCCCAGCTGATACTCCAACTTTGCGGCACCTCTTCCGCAAAAGGACATTTATTTGGGGGGGAGGGGTTTC